AAAAGTCCTCTGCTTCTCAAATCTTCGCTTAGTGCACGTTTACAATATAAGAAGATAAATATTGATACTTTTTCATCTGAAGTAGACAATAATTATGATGACAAAAATACTCTTCCTACTTTCACACTTGCTTTACGAACTTTGAAATAGAAAATCTTAAAACATTGAATATATCATATAAAAAGAGCTTCTTCAACCAAGTAGGAAAGACATTTTATCTGAACTCTGAACTCAAGTAACATTGATTCAAATATTAAATAATAAATTAGATGTGTGGTTTAGTTCAGACAAAATACATATGTGTAGCTAAAACATTGATCTTTGTGAGAAATATAGTAATTTTTTGTCAAAAATGTACACATAATATGAAGATAAATTGTGCACTATGACGAAAAAGAGCTTCCTAGAATCACTCTCAGGCCACGAAATTTGAAATGAGACTCTCATTTTCCAATTTTATCATTATATTATGTGTAGATTTGTAACAAAAAATGATTATACTCGTCACAAATGTCCATGTTTTTGTTACACTTCAGTATTTTGTCTATACTAAACAACACATACAATTTAATATTAATGTTTGAATCAATACTACTTGAGTTCCGATTTCAAAACTAATCTCTTTCTGTAAAATATAAATAACTTAGGATAAAATATAAATATAGACGTATCATCACCAAACATATTCCTAGAGTTTAATCAAAGAAATAACAATAAATAAAATGTAGCCTAGTTCGTTATAAATTTATAATGCTCTTTCTTCATTTAATTGACCACTCTTAGTCCACGAAATTAGAAAAGGGAGAATTCCAACCCATGTTTTACCTTTATGTATTTTGTAGAAAGATGAATTGGGCACTATGATGAAAAGAGCTTCCTAGAATCACTCTCATGCCACGAAATTTGAAATGAGACTCTCATTTCCCAATTTTATCATTATATTATGTGTAGATTTGTCACAAAAAAATGATTATACTTGTCACAAATGTCCATGTTTTGGTTACACTTCAGTATTTTGTCTAAACTAAACAACACATACAATTTAATATTAATGTTTGAATCAATACTACTTGAGTTTCAATTTCAAAACTAATTTATTTCTATAAAATATAAATAACTTAAGGAAAAATATAAATATAGAAGCATCATCACCGAACATATTCCTAGAGTTTAATCAACGGAATAACAATAAATAAAATATAGCCTAGTTGATTATAATGCTCTTTCTTCATTTAATTGACCCAGGTTCACACTCTAATGATAATATTTTTAATATATAAACATGAACTGGGTGCAATGACAAAAATTACATTCCTAGAATCACTCTTAGGCCACGAAATTTGAAATGGGAGAATTCGTACCCATGTTTTGCCTTTATGTATTTTGTAGATTGTCAAAAAGAGGTTCATTGTGAGAAATTCAATATCAAGAAATCCAATAAGAGTTGTACATGAAAAAAGTCTTGTGTTTCCTAGTCAATTAGATAGCCAAAAGCAAGAGAAATAGACATAAATATTTATAACCTGCGAATTTGAAGGTATGATACTTGAAACAAAAAATCATTATTTTAAAGGTTGTGTTCATCGCCATGAGTTAACCCTTATCCCCATCCATATAACAATATCGACACAATTCTATCTATTACCATTTAACCAATAGGTTAAATATTACAACACAAATAACAAAATTATAGCATATAGATAAAGATGTCCACAACTACCAAACAATAAATCCACCATTCACTAATCCTCAAGCTGTCAAGCAATATAATTATATGGAGTTTATCTCCACTAAAACATAAATATATAGTGTTGGGGGCATTCGGGGGTCCAAGAGAAGAGCCCAGGGAGTTGAGAAGGGCCTAGGATGTGGGCTTGGCAAGGGAAAAGCCCATCCCAAAGGTGGCCTGAGGTTGTAACCTAGGCGGTGGATCTGAGCGTGACGTAAGGCGCATAACGACAAAAGTGACAACGACCGAGAACGTACGGAGGGAGCAGGAAGTGGGGCCATGCGCCTCGATGACAAGGCCTGGTGTCAGAATGTCGGGGCGCATGGCAGGGGTAAAGTACGGTGCATTAAATGAGATGATGACGTAGGGCGGATTCGGGGGGCATTGGTCGACCCTACATGGGGTATAAATAGTGAAATGGGTGGAGCTCATTTACTCAGGTTGGGACTTCTCTCTAAAACTATACTTCACTTCTCTCTCTATAAACACTGTACTAACTTGGGCGTCTGAGTGCTAACGAGCCCCCGGCAAGGGGTTCGGCGTGCGCCTTCGTGTCCAGGAACGAGGTGGGAGGTCGGAGCGAGTTCTGGGAAGCTAGGCGCATTGGTCGGAGAGGGCTCCGGGTTACGTGGCACAAACATATAGCATGCGGTTTGGATTCACTCATTAAGCTAATTATTTATCAAGTTTTTTAATTTAATAGGAATCACTAGATTAATCAAGAAGAAAAAACCTAAAAGAGAATTCTCGATATTTTAAATTAATAATTAGTTTAATAAGTATTTAAAAAATAAAAATGTGAAACTTCAATCTCTCACTCTTTCTCTACCACATTCAAACCATTTCGAAACTTCCCATTTTGTCACCCACAACCAAACCCTAAGTGCTAATACGAAATAGGAGGTTTGCCCTCAATTAATCTAGAATAGGAGGCATGAAATTCCCAAGGAAAACCATCTCTAATAGAGCCTCTTAAGTTAAGGAGGGTTCTCTCTAAACTAGTCTAGGAGACTTTGAATGCCCAAGGAAACCCAGCTCAAATAAAGCCTCTTATGATAAAGGAGGTTTCCTCTCTAAACTAGCCTAGGAGGCATGCAATGCCCAAGAACACCCATCTCAAATTAAGCCTCTTAACCTAAGGAGGTCTCATCTCTAAGCTAGGTCAACAAAGAACACACAATCATCATGAAAAATACCTCCACATTCACATTAAACACAACCACACACTAATCATTCAATTCTTACAAGCATTCACATAATTGGAGCTAGAGTTTACAAACACCCAAGTGTAAGAAGGGACTACTCCATGGTAGGATAAGGGAAAACACAAAAGTAGAAAAGGAAAACCATCAAGAAGATGAAATTATTGCTCCTTGTGTTGAAGAGATCCTCCTTTCGGGGAGGAATTCCCAAATTATTGCTTGGAGATGAAACCCTAGCTTCTCATATCCTTTGGTTTGTCACTTTCTCACTCTAAAATCTGAAGAAGGAGAATTTTCTCACAATAGGTCTCCCCCTCTTCTTCCTTTCAACTGGCTCTAAAAACTGAGATCCAGCCAAGTTCATGGCCTGAGTTCACGGCCGTGAACATCGAAATGCGTTCGTGAACACATTGTCTGAACCAAAACGCACCGCTTCACATCCTTGGGTTCACGGTCTGTGGTTTATGTTCATGGTCTTAGCGATCGTGAACAACCTTGGTGTCAATAACCTCAAAACCCTCACTGGACGCTCCTTGGTTCACGGATTGTGGCTCCAGTTCACGGTCTTGTAAGACCGTGAACTCCCATGGCAGACCGTGTAGTGCGGCTGACTCGCTCCGACTATCACAATAAAATCCCACTTGAGCCCCAAGTATAAACCTTAGAGGGGTGCAATATAGGGGAAGTATGTTTAAATATCGACCTGGGTCGGACCATGAACCGCTACTTTGACTGTTTGAAACATTATCTAGCGGATTAGTTTTTGGTGAAAACAAAGGTCTAAAACTAAGTACTTTGCAAAGGTAAAATGGATTTGACACTAATTGAGAATTCTTCACCCGGGTGTTGCTCCCCCTAGCTAACAATTATGATTTGAAGAATCGAACGATCGTGTGTGGTTAGGGGGTTATAAACTGCAGGGAAGTCAGAAAAGTAACCAAGGCTACCCTTTTAGTCTATAGGTTGAGAAAATGGGATATGATCCAAGCCGCTAATGCGACCCTCTCAACCTATCGACTAAGGAATGGTTAGACTTTCACCCTCGAGTTGGAGTTCAGACGACCACCCACAACCAAACCCTAAGTGCTAATACAAAATAGGAGTTTGCCCTCAATTAACCTAGAATAGGAGGCATGAAATGCCCAAGGAAACCCATCTCTCATACAGCCTCTTAGGTTAAGGAGGGTTCTCTCTAAACTAGTCTAGGAGACTTTTAATGCCTAAGGAAACCCAACTCAAATTGAGCCTCTTTGGATAAAGGAAGTTTCGTATCTAAACTAGCCTAGGAGGCAAGCAATGCCCAAGATAACCCATCTCTAATTGAGCCTCTTAACCTAAGGAGGTCCCCTCTCTAAGCTAGGTCAACAAAGCACACACAATCATCATGAAAAATACCTCCACATTCACATTAAACACAACCACATACAAATCATTTAATTTTTACAAGCATTCACATAATTGTAGCTAGGGTTTACAAACACCCAAGTGAAAGAAGGGTCTACTCCATGCTAGGAGAAATGAAAACACAAGAGAGGACAAGGAAAACCATCAAGAAGATGAAAGCCTTGCTACTTATGTTGAAGAGATCCTCCTTTGGGGGAGGAATTCGTAAATTCTTGCTTGGAGATGAAACTCTTGCTTCTCATCTCCTTGGGTTTGTCACTTTCTCACTCTAAAATATGAAGAAGGAGAAATTTCTCACAATAGGTCTCCACCTCTTCTTCCTTTCAGCTGGCTCATTAAACTGAGATCGAGCCTAGTCACGGCCCGAGTTCACGGTTGTGAACATCGAAGCGCATCCGTGAACACGGTGTCTGAACCAAAACGCACCACTTCACATCCTTTAGTTCACGATCTTAGTGACCGTGAATAGCCTTGGCGTCAGTAACCTCAAAACCCTCTCTGGACGCTCCTTGGTTCACGGATTGTGGCTCCAGTTTACGGTCCTGTAAGACCGTGAACTCCCATGGCAGACCGTGTACTGCAGCTGACTCGCTCTGACTATCATAATAAAATCCCACCTAAGTCCCAAGTATAAATCTTAGATGGGTGCAGTATAGGGCAAGTATGTTTAAATATCGGCCCAGGCCGGACCATATACCGCTACTTTGACTGTTTGAAAAATTATCTAGCGGATTAATTTTTGGTGAAAACAAGGTCTAAAACTAAAGTACTTTGCAAAGGTAAAATTGATTTGACACTAATTAAGAAGGCTTCACCCGGGTGTTGCTCTCCCTAGCTAACAATTACGACTTGAAGAATCGAACGATCATGTGTGGTTAGGGGGTTATAAACCGCAGGGAAGTCTAACAAGTAACCAAGGCTACCCTTTTAGTCTCTAGGTTGAGGAAATGGGATATGATCCAAGCCGCTAATGCGACCCTCTCAACCTATCAACTAAGGAATGGTTAGACTTCACCCTCGAATTGGAGTTCGGACGACCACCCACAACCAAACCCTAAGTGCTAATAAGAATTAGGAGGTTTGCCCTTAATTAACCTAGAATAGAAGGCATTAAATGCCCAAGGAAACCCATCTCTAATAGAGCCTTTTAGGTTAAGGAGGGTTTTCTCTAATAGTATGAGAGGCTTTGAATGCCCAAGGAAACCCAGCTCAAATTGTGCCTCTTTGGATAAAGGAGGTTTCCTCTCTAAACTAGCCTAGGAAGCATGCAATGCCCAAGAACACCCATCTCTAATTGAGCCTCTTAACCTAAGGAGGTCTCCTCTCTAAGTTAGGTCAACAAAGCACACACAATCATCATGAAAAATACCTCCACATTCACATTAAACACAACCACGCACAAATCATTAAATTTTTAGAAGCATTCACATAGTTGTAGCTAGGGTTTACAAACACCCAAGCGAAAGAAGGGACTACGCAATGCTAGGATAAGGGAAAACACAAGAGAGGGAAAGAAAAACCATCAAGAAGATGAAAGCCTTGGTCCTTGTGTTGAAGAGATCCTCCTTTGGGAGAAGAATTCCCAAATCCTTGCTTGGAGATGAAACCACAGCTTCTCCTCTTCTTTGGTTGGTCAATTTCTCACTCTAAAATCTGAAGAATAAGAAGTTTCTCACACTAGGTATTTCCCTTTCTTATTCCTTTAAGCTAGCTATTTAAACCGAGATCGAGCCCAGTTCACGACCTGAGTTCACAGCCGTGAACATCGGAACGCGTTCGTGAACACGATGTCTGAACCAAAACGCACCGCTTTACATCCTTGGGTTCACGGTCTGTGGCTTATGTTCACGGTCTTTGCGACCGTGAACAGCCCCGACGTCAGTAACCTCAAACCCTCTTTGGACCCTCCTTGGTTCATGGATTGTGGCTCCAGTTCACGGTCTTGTAAGACTGTGAACTCCCATGGCAGACCGTGTACTACGACTGTCTCCTCCTCTTTGCCCGGTCTTCGCTCTTTTCCTTCGAACTTTCGAATCTGGGGTTGGTTTCACCTGTTAGGATTTGAAACACACTGAAACACAAGAAACCTTGAGTAAAACCACCCCTTTTGGAGTTCAATTGCAACAAACATCAAATCGAAACTAGGATAAAAAGTGTACAATTAGGCCCGAATCATTCATAATATTGTATGTTCATGATATCATTAATAAATTATTTGATAAATGAATCTTTATGTTGATTACAATACTCGTATAATTAAAACTAATATCATAATTGTTAAAAATAACTCTATTGTTGTTAAATATACATGCTCGATCGATAAATGGTTCTATGTTTGGGATTTTGTACAATTTTTTTATGTCTTAGTTTTGTATCGTAATCCAAATCATATCAAAATTTTATTTTAATATGGCCTAATAAAACCGTTAGATTAATTTAAAGGCCAAAATTAGATTGAAGTAAATTGTAACCAACGATTAGTGCCATATATATTATGGAAGCGAAAATAATATTGGAATCTTCAAGATTGGGAATTTTATTAGAAAAATGATAACTTACTTTTTCATTCATGTGTAGCTTGGTTTGATAATTGGATTTATGGAAAACACACCATCTTTTTGTTGTTTGACAGGTGAAAATAGAGATGATTTGGCGTGAAGACGAATTCTGAAGCATCGCCAAACTATGCAGTCGTTTATAAGGAAGCAGGGTGATGAAGGCTTTTGGAATGGGAAATTGATGTCCAGCTACTCAGTGAGCGCAGTTTGGGATACGATACGTCCTGTGAAGAGCAAACAACACTAGTATGTTCTTCTCTAGAGTAAATTCTATGTGCCTATCATAGCATGGATCGTGGCCATGGATGCGATCGTAATCAAGGCAAAGTTGATGCAATGGGGTTAATTAAATGAAGATATATGCATTTTATGCCATGCCAATAGTGAGAACTGAGATCATTTGTTTTTCGAATGTTGTTTCTCGAGGAGTATTGTTAGCAGAGTTGGTAATTTTTTTTCAGTAGTGATCTTCGACTCTCATATGTAGGTATGGTTGCAAAGCGAAACACGGCTCTGGGGAGACTTATTGGACCTCTATAGTGCTCCTTGATTAGCTTTGTTTGGCGGGAAATGTGTCGAAGGCTCCATGGAGAGGTCTCAAGAACGACCGAGTTGGTGACAGAGTAACGGCTGCGAGATTTCCGCTTATTTGTTTCCTCTTCACACCACTTCTCTTCACACCTCTCCTTCTCCCTTTTCAATTTTCTGTTGTAGCTCTATATTTCTTTAGTAGTTTTGCGATTAACGTTAACTCGTAAGTTTATTTAGTATTACTTTTTATTGTTATTTTTGATTTTTGATTTTTATGATATTAACTGAACTACGGTTTTATCGCAGATGGCATTCCAAAAGTTCACGCTTGGCTTACGGTGGAATGGTTACACGGAAGAGACCGAAAAGGGGGTCACCTACGTCGGTGGCTATTTTCAGAAGATAAAGGTCGCTACCAGACCGCTGCTTGAAGACCTCCATCAAATGTGCACTAACGTTACTTGCATGGATGGCACGAGAAGAGTTGATCGTATGGTGTACCGATATCCAAACAGAGAAAGTGGGTCATTGTGGCATGAGGAATATCTCATAACCACTTAGGATGAGGTAGATGCCATGCTCGAATTCATGAGGTCCAACAATCTTTCCAAAGCCGAGATGTTCGTTTACGTTGAGCTGGTCGTAGGCGTTGGAGGTCATTCTGGACACGGTCAAACATCTGGTATCCATGGTGGAGGTGAATTATATGGCGATCATACCTACCAAAGTTATCATGATCCTCATTCATATTTTCAGTACCAAGAGCAAGGTGAAGGTCATCATCAATCTTTCCCGTCATATGAAGAAGAAGTTCAACCGGACCTCCCCAACCAACCTCAGTACAACTTCCACTCAGGAAGCGGTAGTTTTCACAACTACCATTATGGAGCTGATGAAGGTGCCTTTTCATGAGCTGGATCAGATGGAGGATGCCCTGCCAGCACCAGTCAGTGACCCCTCCGATGAAGAAGGAGAGAACAACGTCAGTACAGACAGCTCCTACCCTCTTGAAGGTGCTGATGATTCAGGACCAGAGTCAGACTCAGCTAATGATAATGAGGTGGCTCGTGACCGTGTACCAGTCCCCTACTACAATCACATTCCAGACGACAATTGGATGGTCGACAGCGACATGGAGCCGCCAGAGGTCCCAATATGGGGTCCACTCAATGGGTTTATGAAGGGCCAACAATTTGGCTCGAAGAAGGAGGTGCGGCACGCCATTGAGACAGAAGCAATGACTCAGCATTTTGAATGGTACACAACTCATTCCAATACTAAAAGGCTCATAGTCAGATGCCGTAATCATCACGAGGGGTGCAATGTTAGGATTCGGGCCATCAACAGCAAGAGGCACGACCACTGGATCATATCCCGTGTGGTGAACACACACACATGTGTGTCATCCATAAATTCACAAGGCCATCGACAGTTGAAATCCAGGGTGGTTGCTGTGGCTATCAAGCATCTAATAGAGCAAGATCCGGACCTGAAGGTGAAAGTCATAATCGCTGACATTGCAAGTCGTTATGGTTATATGATTAACTATAAGAAGGCGTGGCATGGAAAGCAGAAAGCTCTGGCCGCCGTCTTTGGTGATTGGGAAGAATCATATGCATTCCTTCCCAGGTTAATTTTGGCATTGGAGGCGTCTAACCCTGGCACGGTTTTCTCCCCTCGATATCAAGATGAAGAGATACAACCCCCAGAGCTAGGTAACAAGCGCCATTTCAGACGACTTTTTTGGCCATTCAAGCCATCTATTGATGGTTTTGGCTTCTGTGTCCCTGTCATCCAAGTGGATGGTACATTCCTTACCGGCAAGTACAAGGGAACTCTCGTGATTGCCAGTGGGGCGGATGCCAACAAACAAGTCTTTCCTTTAGCCTTCCCCATCGTTGAGGGAGAGAATGTTGATAGCTATGGATGGTTTTTCCGGCAAATTCAGCTCCACGTCAATAGGAGGACGAACCTGACAATAATCTCTGATCGGCACGCCGACATTAGAGCTGCCATCTTAGGTTTAGATCCAGCCTGGAAGTGGTCCCAAAGGTGGTGCATACGACACTTCAAGAGCAACTGTAACCATCATTTCAAGCGGAAGAAGCTTGCTGATTGTGGTGGATTGGTAAGTTTGTAATTAGCCGTATAATTTTGTCAGTGGTGCTCTGGAACACAACACCTAACAATGGCCAAGTGTAACCAATGAAAGGGACTGCAGTATAGTGGCACAAGTAATAAATATCGAATCCACGGGTCTCTAGAGTTACTATTACTCAGCTTCAGTTCATTATCTAGCAAACTAGATTAAGGATTGATTAACTAAACTACTCTACTAACTAAACTAAGTAAAACTACTAATTACAGTTTGAGAACTCACTTAGGTATGATTCCCCCTAGCTCCTCAATTAGGTCCAAGTTGTAATTCCTTTTGGTTGTTTTACTGTTGATTAAACTGCGGAAGATCCGACAGTAGCTTGGAATCTCTTAAGCTGACCAAACCCTCTCAGTCGAACTATCCGGCAGACGACTAGTCTTCACCGGGATAGAAAGCTGAAGCAATAAGCATAGAACTCCACTACTGGAATTGGATTCCAGTACAAAGCAGTAAACTGGCTAACTCTCGTATAGCCAATCTCCTACTACCGAATGATGAGACTCTAGCAACCTAATCAGATTCTATTTATCTCAGATTGCAGCAGGAATCAGGAAAAGTTGATCAGACTTCAATTGACTCAATAACATGCATCATTCGATTATAATCAAACAATAAAGCATCCAAAACTTCATACAAGAAAGATCCTAACTCATGGAACTAGGGTTCCTCAAAACCTAAGTGAAAGGAAGTTACTCCATAGAGAAGAGAGAGACTGCAGAAATCTGATCTAGATCTTCAATCTCCATCTCCAAGCTTGATTCCCGAGCTTCAACGGCGAAGAAATCCTCCAAAATAGCTCCAAGAACGTTCCCAAGTCGCTCTCTCTCTCTAGGGTTCGTCCCTTGGGTGTTTGGGATCCAAAACCCAGCTCTCTCCCTCTCCTTTTACTGAAAATCGGGTTTTAAATAGCAATTCCCGACTCACACGGCCAGGCCACACGGCCGTGTGGCTTTCCCAGCTGCCCGTGTGAAGGCTCGGTGATTTCCACACGGCCACATGGCCAGGTCACACGGCCGTGTGGGTTGTGCCCGTGTGGCTTGCTCAGCCTCTGTTTAATGCTTCGTTTCTCCCTCGTCCGGACTCCGAATCAGTCGCTGTTTGATCCCAGACGCTCGTAGTCTCGTCCTCTTTCTTTTCATGACAAGCTTGCATGATTCTTTGTCCATAAAGTGAGGTAGAAATCCATTCTTCTTCAGGTCATACCCGAGTTTCTTCTCCCGAATCGTCAATTGATCTCTGATTGACTTGAAACTTGCGCCTATGCTTCACTTTATGTGCTAGGACCTGAAATGTGACAAAGGAACACAACCTAGCGTAAAATAGGCCAAAGACACGATAATTCAAGCTCAAACAATCAAGAAACAAATGGGAAAACATGTGCAAATACCGAGTCATCAAATCCCCCCACACTTAACTGTTTGCTTGTCCCCAAGCAAACCTAACTCAAACCAATGCAGCTCTCCAGAGCTCTATAGCAACATACACCCCAGATCGTAGGTAGAGGACTTCCTAGATCGTTTAGCAGCTTACGAGGTCAACCGATACACAAGTCATCTCATAGCTTCTTCGGCGAGAGCACTAGTATCGAGTCGGCATCATGGCAAATAGTGAACAGAGGACAAATGAATTGTGGATGAAGAGATTCTAAAAAACAAAGGATCATGGATCACATTTTTCAAGGTGCTCTATTTTCTTTGAAGATGGTTGGAACCCCTTTTCTTTCTGTTTTGCTTGTTTTCTGTTATTTTTTCTTTACTCTTTTTTTTTTCAAGGGTCCCAACGTGCTCTTACCGGCCATGTCAGGAGCGGATGTCTCGAGCCTCATGCGGGGGAAAGACATGTAAGGGGGCTGGAGGTAGTAGGTGGAAATTGGGAACGAATTCCCGTCTCCCCTTACACACTTTCGCCCTATTCGCACGGGAGACGTTATTTTGAAGCACATTTTCGAGCACCTGTTACTTTCAAAACATGATACAAGAGTCCATGACAGGTAGAGAGTCCACAACACCACACAATTCAAGGGTCCTAAGATCACTAATTCACTCAATCAACCAACACAATATGAAGAACTAATGAGATTTCTTAAATGCATCAACATCCTCCATAGTGCTACACTACCTCCCTAGGTTGCATATTACTATAAAGACTGTCAATTCAAAGCATACTGAGCAGGCAATTGCAAGGAACACGTACCTGGAGCCCTCAAATTTAAAAATTTGGACAGTGGACTAGGCTCCAAGCACACAAACAGCCAAACATTTACCCGCATACATAATCGAACATCCCCCCACACTTAAGCACGACATTGTCCTCAATGGAGGAAAGATAAGGAGGGTAGAACGAAGTTACCAGATCAAGGGTGAATGATGATGAACGGGTCAGGCGGTGCATTCCAGGAAGAGAGAGTAACTAGAACACAAACACCACACAAAATCTCACAAAGGTTGAGTTATTGACTCTAAAATCAAATAGCAAAACTGACTCAACCGAGGAGAAATAGAGAAAGAAATGCAAACCGACTGGTTGGGTTGCCTCCCAACAAGCGCTTCTTTCACGTCGTGAGCCGAACGATGGCTCCTAAGTTTCGGTCCATGCTAGAACCTCCTTGAAGTTGAGGTTCTCGTCGATGAGGTGGAGTCTCAAGTCACGAGCATGTGGTGTGGCAGGTGATGAAGGCTCGTGTACTTGATGCAGATGAAGTCTCCACCCTCGAGACCTCTTCTTCTCTTCTCTCGTCTCATTGCCCCAACCCAAATATGACAGCATCGATTGGCCACCATCGCGTCCACCAAGAGGGACCGATATTGATGTGGCCTTGGTCTGGCAAAGAGACACTGCAAATGGGTCCTTGCTAAGCAGTTCCTCAAAGTTTGGTGGGGATATTACTTGCAACTCATGGCCGGTGCAGGCCTCTTCCACCTTAACTCCGTCCTCAGCCTGGACGCCAATTGCTTCTTCAACCCCCCTTTCTTCTTCATGTGGTATCACCCCTGGGAAAAGATCAAGAACCACCTCTTCTTTTTTTTTCTTCCTCATCCTCCACAACTTCCTTCCTCATCCTTGCTCGCTCTTCTTCTTCTAGAACAGATTGGAGAGCAAGTCGCCAAGCAATTTCTTCAATGAGATCATCTTGCATCCCCTCGCTCGGGCCCAGCATGTTAGAGCAGAAATAAGGAATTGTGTGATCTGCAACCAGAGGACTTTCCTGATCATGATTATCATGGGAGTTCTCTGTGATAACTTCTGTATGCTCCTCAACATCCCCATAGCCTTTGTCATCCTCCACCTCTTCTAGCGTGGTAGCAGAAAGGTGATCTTGAGCAAGATGTGAGCAAACTTGCTCCACCCACACTGTTTGCTTCGCTGAGCGCTGAACAGTCTCCTCCATATCATGGAGAAATGAGGGATCGGAAGCAGCAAGGGCTTTGATTTGAAGATCCATCTTGGAGCAGGCTCTCTCAGTGTCTCGAGCAAACTGCTCCACGAGAAGCCTTAATTGTTTGTTCGGATCTTCCAGTGAAGTGTAGCATGGCTCTGCAGAGTGGCCAGTGAAGGCCGCCATGGGTAACTCAAGATCTGATGGCCCTTCTTGTTGTGGGAGGAATTCTTCTTGATAAGGAGATTGTTCTTGATATGCCCAGGGGTCTGGTTGTTCTCCGTAGAAAGGGGGTTGGTACTGGAACCCGAATCCATAGTCTTCTCCTCCTTGATTGCTCCAGGGAGTCTCGGGGTAATACCACTCGGATGGTGGTGGATACCCCCAATGGTTGGAGAAGCCATGAGGATCCATGATTCAGATCTGCACCAACAAAAACAAAAACACCCAAGTGAAAAGCAAGGGTGGAAAAGAAAAGAAAAACGCTAAAGTAACAAACTTCTGCCTTTCCTAATAATCTAGAAAGTCCCCGGCAACGGTGCCAAAAACTTGGTGCTCTGGAACACAACACCTAACAATGGCCAAGTGTAACCAATGAAAGGGACTGCAGTATAGTGGCACAAGTAATAAATATCGAATCCACGGGTCTCTAGAGTTACTATTACTCAGCTTCAGTTCATTATCTAGCAAACTAGATTAAGGATTGATTAACTAAACTACTCTACTAACTAAACTAAGTAAAACTACTAATTACAGTTTGAGAACTCACTTAGGTATGATTCCCCCTAGCTCCTCAATTAGGTCCAAGTTGTAATTCCTTTTGGTTGTTTTACTGTTGATTAAACTGCGGAAGATCCGACAGTAGCTTGGAATCTCTTAAGCTGACCAAACCCTCTCAGTCGAACTATCCGGCAGACGACTAGTCTTCACCGGGATAGAAAGCTGAAGCAATAAGCATAGAACTCCACTACTGGAATTGGATTCCAGTACAAAGCAGTAAACTGGCTAACTCTCGTATAGCCAATCTCCTACTACCGAATGATGAGACTCTAGCAACCTAATCAGATTCTATCTATCTCAGATTGCAGCAGGAATCAGGAAAAGTTGATCAGACTTCAATTGACTCAATAAACATGCATCATTCGATTATAATCAAACAATAAAGCATCCAAAACTTCATACAAGAAAGATCCTAACTCATGGAACTAGGGTTCCTCAAAACCTAAGTGAAAGGAAGTTACTCCATAGAGAAGAGAGAGACTGCAGAAATCTGATCTAGATCTTCAATCTCCATCTCCAAGCTTGATTCCCGAGCTTCAATGGCGAAGAAATCCTCCAAAATAGCTCCAAGAACGTTCCCAAGTCGCTCTCTCCCTCTAGGGTTCGTCCCTTGGGTGTTTGGGATCCAAAACCCAGCTCTCTCCCTCTCCTTTTGCTGAAAATCGGGTTTTAAATAGCAATTCCCGACTCACACGGCCAGGCCACACGGCCAGGCCACACGGCCGTGTGGCTTTCCCAGCTGCCCGTGTGAAGGCTCGGTGATTTCCACACGGCCACATGGCCAGGTCACACGGCCGTGTGGGTTGTGCCCGTGTGGCTTGCTCAGCCTCTGTTTAATGCTTCGTTTCTCCCTCGTCCGGACTCCGAATCAGTTGTCGTTTGATCCTAGACGCTCGTAGTCTTGTCCTCTTTCTTTTCATGACAAGCTTGCATGATTCTTTGTCCATAAAGTGAGGTAGAAATCCATTCTTCTTCAGGTCATACCCGAGTTTCTTCTCCCGAATCATCAATTGATCTCTGATTGACTTGAAACTTGCGCCTATGATTCACTTTATGTGCTAGAACCTGAAATGTGACAAAGGAACACAACCTAGCGTAAAATAGGCCAAAGACACGATAATTCAAGCTCAAACAATTAAGAAACAAATGGGAAAACATGTGCAAATACCGAGTCATCAGTCAGCTAACAATATCTTAGTACATTTGGCGAGTGGTGCACTTGTTAGACTCTTTCTAAAGTGATGCATGCCTAAGGAAATGGGGTTTTAAGCGATTATTATGATCCTCCCATTTCCTGGGAAAATCGGGTTTTAAGCGATCTTCGGATCCCCCCTTTTCTGTCAAACAGGTTGTGTTTCTAAGGAGATGTATACCTCTCCTAAGAGTCTAACGAGAGTACCTCCGGGTTGTTCGAATTGTATTAAACTGCCGAAAATTGACTAACATACTACTTTTCTGTGTCTTCCTCAGCGGTTGCCTACCAAGAGAAAGAATCTCTGCCATTGTGGAGATGACATTTTGGAAAACGAATGCATGGTTCGTCAACCGACTCCACTGGGCAAGGTCGAACGAGGCACAAGGAAAGGTCCATGCCTATAAAGTCATGGAAGTAATGGAGAATGACAATCGCAAGAGCAGTCGACATAGTGTAACCGTTATGAATCGGCCAAATGGCGAGTATAGCGTGACGACCAGACATCGGGAGGATGGTAGACTGGGGGGCCACCGCCATGAAGTTTTGGTCAATTTCAGGACAAAAGTTGGTGAGTGCTCATGCCAGAAGTATCAGGGGAGAGGGTGGCCTTGTTCTCATGCAATGGTCGTAATTAAAAACAGGAGCAAAGACCCCTGTCACTTCGTTAGTCCATTCTTCAATATCGACTCACTCAAAAACACCTATGGATGGAGTTTCCGTGCATTGACTGATGAAGCTTATTGGCCAATGTACGAAGGAAAATTGATCATCCCGCCGTTCGGACAGAGGCGTGAACCGGTTCGCCCGAGGAAAAAGAGAATTCATAACGAAA